TTTCATAATATGGTTATTTTTGTACATGTTGGAATTCTTTCACTAGAGAGAAAACTGCTTAAGATCATGACTACTTCATTTGTCTTCGTGTCTCCAGTACCTGGCATATAGTAAGTGCTTAATAATAATAACTAGCATTTTTATAGCACGTAAATGTTTGCAAAGTGTTTTATGTGTTACCTCATTTGATCCTCACAACAACCCAATAGGTAGGTGCTATAAGTATCCCCATGTTACAGATTAGGCACCTGAGGCAAACAGAGGTGAAATTACTTGTTCAGCATCAAGCAGCTAATGAAAAATTAAAACTTAACATCATCCTGACTCCAAATTCAACTCTATCCATAGTGCCACCTAGCTGCCTTAATATATTTTTGTTGTCTTGACTGAGTTGAATTCAATTAAAGTCTAAGCTATGTGTATGTGTGTATTCATGCATACACAGTTATGTATGCATTTGACACAGAAAGAAACAGGGATGTATTTTCCCAGTATATTGCCTAATATAGGCATATGGCACAAATGTAAAATGCATGAAAAAACTCTACTCTTTCTGTCTTCTCATCAAAAAGAAAGCGTAGGAAGATTTTGACCCTAAACATATTTAATAGAAAATGGAAAACAGATAGAAGTTGAAGAAGGGACCAGCCAGCTGCTTTAAATGGGTTCTGGCCTAAATGCATTGCACAAGATACTGAAGTAATATTCAGGTGTGATCAGTGAACCATTCTTGGTAATCTCCAAGGAATGGGAAAGGTGCTAAAAGATCAGGAGATAGGAAAATGTCCTGATTCTCAAAAAAAAAAAAATACATCCTGAAACAATAGATGTGTGGGGTTGTTGTTGATCCTCTGTAACATTCCAGAATGGATTGTGAAATCTCTAGATCATGAAATGAATGGTTATTGCATATATGTTGAAAAAAGTCAATCATTAGGAATCAGCATGATTTCACTAAGGCTAAGTCATGCCAAACTTATCTTATTTCTTTTTCAGACATAGTTATTAGAACAATGAAATGCTGCATTCATAGTGTTAGGATTTTATCTAAACATTTGGAGAAATCTCTCTTAACAAGCTCTTAGGTAAGGGTTAGGTGGGTTAATGGTTGATTAGGTTAACAGACATGATAAGCTAGATTCTCTGGTGTTATGGCTCTGAGCCCTGTTCTTGGCCCTATTTTCAACATGTTATTTTTAATCATGTCTTGGTTGAAGAAAAAGAAGGCATAGTTATAAAATGTGTGCATGATATATACATACACACACACACACACACACACACACACACACATATATATATATATATATATATATATATATATACACATATATAGTAATCAATATGTTGATGATAATCAGTATCCAAAAAGTTCTAGGCAGGCTAAAAGAATAAACTAAATTTAGTAGGATGAAATATAACAGAAAAAAATGCAAAATTTTGCACTTAGGATCCAAAAATAATAACACTATATATACAGGATGGGAGATGATTTCTTAACAGGAGTTCACGTAAGATGGAGGGATTTTAGTGGACCCAAATTCACTGAATCAGGTGGGCAAATTCACTGCCACCCCCCAAAAAAATCACATTTGGAATATTGTGCTTAATTCTCAGTGTAGCACTTTGGAGGATAGATTTGGAGGAATAAATAAACTCAGGCATATCCAGTGGTTGGGGAATGGAATAAGGAAGGAACTCAAAACTGTTTCCTGATGAGAAATGGTTGAAGGACCCAGGATTATATAGGTTCAAAGAGAGAGTCTTAGTGGAAAAATAATAGCTGCCATGAGTATTTGATGATCTTTTATTTGGATGGGAGATTGACTTCATTTATGCAGTTTCTAAGGGATAGAATTTGGACAAATGGAGGAAGTTATAGGGGGAAAGATTTCAGCTAAGTATAAGAAAGTATAACAGTTGGAACTGTTTAAAAAGAGAATGAACTGTTCTGTGAGGCACTGAGTTACCCTTTATTAGAAGTGTTCAGAGAAAACCTGGATGACATGTCAGGGATGCTACCAAGAAAATTTCTGTATGGGGTATGAGGTTCAACTTGCAAGGTAATTTATAAGGTTCCTGCTAACTCTTAAGATTCTGTACTATTTACTTTTGGTTATCCTTGGTTGGTCCCATATTTAAGTTGCTTTAAAGACAAAACGCATCTCAGGAAGCATCTTGGTTTTGCAATGGATAATGAATCAGTAGCTAATTGGTAGTGAGAAAATCTTCAACAAATCTGGTGAAAAAGGGAAAATTAAACCTGGAATAAAAATAGCAATATTCTCTTAGACACAGAAAGCAGAGAAATGCTAAAAAAAATCCTTAGAATCATATCTTAAAGGGAAAAAAAACATTTTGCTGGACTATATAGAATGGCTATTTTGTAGAATTACTTTAGACAATATAATTGCTGTTGCAATTGAAGTGAAAATGTAGTTCATTTATCACTCAAGATTTAAGTGTTAGAAAGTAATTTGTGGTGAAGTGCTTTTTTTGGGGATGGACACATGATCATTGAAAACATTCTATTTACATTTCAGGTCAACAGCAAAAAGAAATATTGCAGTGGAAGCAGTTTCTTTTAAATTTTTTTGGATGAGACAATGACTCTGTCCTTTGTGTAGATTAAAATGCACATTTCTGAACAATGGACAATGAACTAATAGATTGTTCTTAGTCATAAGGTGTCAAAGTGAATATCACAGGTCATAGGAATAGTTAGAGTTATCCAGTGTCTGATGAATGCAAATATGCCTCAACTATTTATTCTTCCCCCTTCAACCAAATGAGAATTTCTAGTCTTCTTGGGCTATTGGCAGGAGAAACATTAGCATACACATATTAGAATATTGACTGACGTCACAAGGATTTAAAATGTAAGGGGTTTGTTTATTCTCCTTTTATCAAGCAGGTTTTTTTTTCTTACAGATAGAACATTCACATGTTGTAAGTTACAGAAGAAGAGTGTATGAGACAGACCTAATGTAAATCATTAAATAACAGCTTACATGGCTCATGTTCACAATGGGAGAAATTGTTAAAAGGGAAAGCAGATTCAGTAACAAGAAACATAAGCAGATTGCTGTTGTTTATTAAATCTATCTCCCAGGAAATTTCCTCAAGCTAAAGAAAGATCTACTGTACCACGCAGTGCAGGATGCTATACACACAAGAGATTACACGCTATAAAATTTCAGGTTTCTAAGCATTTTACACAATCTAAACCAGATTAAAGTTTGCATTTAAAAAAGACATTTTCTGTTTGCCTTTACTAAATGGAGGTCATTCCAATAGCCCATAAGTATTTTTTAATCAAAGCAAGTTTAAGGGGAAAAAAAAAAACCTCTCTAAACATGTATGCAATGATGGTAAATAAGGGCATTTTTTCAATAAACCAACCCTCTGTTGTTGTTTTACTGAGACAGAAAGAGACAGAGATAGAGAGACAGAGAGAGACAAAGACACAGAGACAGAGACAGAGAGACAGAGATAGAAAATGTTAGAAATTGACAGAGTGACAGAAACAGTGGCAGAGATATATTGAGAAACTAGATTGACATTGAGAGACACAGAGAAATATTAAGACAAAGAGTGACAGAAAAAGAAATAGTGAGTGAGAAAAAAAGGAGGGAGGGTGGAGGGACAGGATAGAGACAGAGCTAGAGAGAATACAAAAGAATGGAGAGTAGTGAAAGAAAGAATATAATAGTCTCTATATGCTGTCATAAAGGACAGGAGTTTCTAGCTTCTTAACTAAAGAGGGACATTCTAGTGAGTGAGCATTTAGGGATTATGTAGCAGAGGAACAGGCTAAGCCAATGATAAAAAAAATGATGAAAGACAATCTGAGAAAATACAGGTAAATAGCAAAGGCAATGGGTAATCAATCACAGCTTAAACCACTGGTATAAGGGTTAACAATCTTATTCTCTGAATCATATTTCTAAATTGTCTAATGCCTAATAGAAAATCAGCTTTCTAGCCAGCTCATATATTCTGGTGTTAATTTCACAATATGCAATTTTCTCTAAGTAGATGTATATGATCCAAACCCTGGGCTATCCGGAAATGAAGAAATGAAGGTCTACTAGCTACTGATGAAGGAAAAGGTCTGTATATAAGCAGGTGACATACCAAACAAAACCTGCAATAAAAATATACCCATACTCTAGAGATTAGAAACATTTTGAGTACAGAAGACACTGCAAGCATTTTTCCCATATCACACTTTGTTTTACCTCCCCTCCATGCTATGTGGTACACTCCATTTGAAATTCTACCTTTTGTTACCTACACACAGCCCAGGGCCAACTTATGCCTTCAAAGAGTATTTCACTGAGGGTCAAACAGATGACTGAAGGCAAGATTTGGCTAAAGAGGGACTAAATGTTTTTCTTTCCTAGGACCATCCATTTAAAGCCACATGAGAATATATTATTTTGCTTCTATTCTTCCTTTCCTCATGAGACATTCCCTTCAAGGCACAAAAAGATTATAAACAGTGGACAGGACAGAATGTTTTCATTTCAGAATTCTAAGGTTGCACATACCTTTATTTGTGATTTGAAGTAAACTGAAAGAGGGAAAAAAAAACAGCAACAAAAATAAAAAACAACAACAACAACAACAACTAAACAAATCACCCTTAAAATGTAATCGAGCTTAAGTTACTGGAAAATTTCTGGAGTTATATATAATTTGCTAAATTTTCTTGAAATTTCTCTGTAATCATTAATTTACAATGTAACTATGGAATGTTTCTTTAAACGAGTTGGGCAATTCCCTACTATTTCTAATATTGATTGCAATCAATATGTCTTCAAAGACATTTTAATTGCTCTGCCATATTAAAATCCAAATTCCATTGGGACACCAAATGATCTAAGTTACATCAGTTTAAAATATAAACTTCCAAAGAAAAACCATAAATTGAAAGAATGGAGTTAAGTGCAATGTACTGTAAAACTATTCATTCAGTAGTTATCTAACTTGATTCTTTAGGCATCTCCAACCCAAATGACTGTGTTTCCTTTCTCTACTTCAGTGATCTCACAGTTTAGCTTATTGAGTCGTCCATCTAAGATAAATAGGGATTCCTTGGATGGTGTCATCAGGTATTGGCCAAAGAGCCCACTGTCTTTGATTAACCTGTTTTTTCTGTTCCAAGGCCATTCTTCTGCCTTTAAAGGCTCCTTGAGGCTCTTGATCATTTTAACCTTCCCAGAGGCAAGTTCTACAAAGAGCACATCTGTTTGCATGCCTGAGCTGCCATAGACATTGTACTGGTGGGCTTCAGTAAAAGAGGGCTGGAAGGCCACATCAGATATATGCAGGTTAGTGTGAATATCAAATGCATCCTGGATTTCTCCTCTTATGGTAATGTACTGGACCCTCATGAGGCCTTTCACATCATCAATGCTTACAAGATAGTGTCCATCTGGAGAAACATATGGGGTACCCATAACATCACCATTGTATCCAATGACTGAGTCAGTTACACTGTCCACCATGAGCTGGGGTGGAATAGCCCCAGTACTGTCAGGGCTGCAACTGATAAAATAGTATCCTCCAAGGTGAGTGTAAGCCAGAGATTGAGGAATGCAGTTGTAGTCCTTTAAGCTAATTGTCTTTATATATGACAGAGTTTCAAGATCAATTTTCTGTAGTACAGCTTCATCTTTGTGAAGAATGAATCCAAACCTAAAAAAATAAGAGGGGAGGAGTTAAATAAGAAATCACAGTGTTATGCTATAATGATATAGATGCTTTATGGATAAGAGTACTAAAGAAATATAAGACCTTTGTATCAAGTTCTCTTTGTACCCTCAAGCCTTATTAGAACAAAGATCTAAAATCCAACTTCTAAATTACAGTTTCCTTATTTCTTGTCAATTATAATTAGCAGAGTCTAAAGTAAAATACTAAAAGTAAAGTGTCTAGTAAATTGGCAGAAGATATATTTTCTTATAGGTCTTTTTCACATGTAGGGAAACAAAGTTAGCAGTTATTCTGCTTTATCTTTCAGTCTATGAAGAGCTTGTGTTTCAATTAAGGGTTACTAAAGAGATTAAGCCTGGACTTGTGATTGGATCATCACAGGGAATTTTGTCCAAAATTGGTTTGGCATCTTTACTACAGCTTACAATATGAGGCTAGAAAACTAAGAAGGGTTAAATGCTTGCTCACAATCACACAGCTAATATTTATCAGGGATGGCACTTGGACGCCAGTCTTCCTGACGCTAAAGTTTACTCTCTACTATACCATACTGCCTTTCTAAATGTTAGAATATCCTTGAGGGGTAAAAGGCTCATGTACCAATCTTCCTGCTGTCATTATTTTCATTTGCTCCATATTTTCTTAAGGACAACAAATTAATTCAGCATTCATTGTTATCCTGATAATTATCCAACTATTTTCCATTTTAATTCAATCGAAGTGCTTATCTCAAAAAATTATAGGTTTATGACTTCCAACTATCAGGGTTGAATTTGTTATATTTTATGACCTCTTTTGTATTGCCTGTCACCTTTGTCAATTCTACCCTAATTCCCTAAAGAAATCACTGGCATAAATTTCATGCATTGAACTTTATCATTCTGAAATTTATCCATCTCCCAATCATATGACTATTTTCTTCAGTTAACTCAGTTTTAATTTTATACTCTTATAAGATTATTGTAAAATACTATTTGAGATTCTATTATGTTTCTAGTGAAGAATAGTTCAAATGAACAAGTCATTTGTATGGGGTTTTTGATTAATTATGGCTTCATTTCAGTCTTTTCCAATAACATAACTGAGCTGTTCTGAATCCTAGCTGCAGGGTGTCAGAGGTCCCTATTGCTCAGTGTTAATATATTTGGAAATCTTGACAGGCTGAATCAGTGGGTTAATAGTATTAACAGCAAATAATTGTTACTGGGAGAGAAAAGGAGCCTAGATTGACTGAACAAGATTAGATCCAAATTGGGTTTTAGTCAATCTCATGCTAGGCATACTTTGCTTAAGTTTTCACTTCAAACAAAATCCCTTTTCAGCTGTTTCCAAACCTAGAGGCAGTACAAAGAGTACTGACTCAAGAGCCGTAAGACATGGGTTCAAATCCTCTCTGGTCTTAGGCAAAGTCTCTTAACCTACCAGGTTTCAGTTTCCTCATCTCTAAAAGGATGGTGTTGGTCAAGATGGTCTCTGAGGTCTATTCTAATTCTACATCTCTGATATAGAATTTGTGAGAACAAAAATCCTCACGTCACAGAAATGTAAAAATGCTCATGGTCTGCATTTAATCATAAAGGATTAAAAATATCTTATGTTTCTATGACCTATACAGTTTAACTAGAATATTCTAAATTAAATGGAGACTTCTAAATTTAAATAATTGCCATTATTCTCATAGTTTTTCTTTCATTACAATCATACATGAGTACATCTCATTGAATCTAACAAATGACTGAGAAATTTAATGATTAGTATGTTTCTTGCAATGCAAGAGAGTTAGAAATAACACATTTTTAACATGGTATAGAACAATCAAAATGATTTCCTTGAAGACAAATCAGTAAGGCTTTGTGCTAGCAAAAGTATTTCACTAAGGAAGAAATGATTACTTATTTAAAAGGTCTTTTAGCTGCTTAATGCAATAAATGAAGAACCAATAGAATGGATATGAAAAAAAAATAACCATTCTCTGGACTTGACCTACTGAGACCATTCTCCCTTCCTCTAGAAGAGTTAATCCAATCTTGTTTGGAATGTCACCCTGAGGTTGAGCTATTCTGTTTGATGAGAGCAAGTTACCAGCCTTCTACAGACTATGCTTTATTTTTCATCTCAGCATCTACTCTGGACATCTTCTTATCTGCCCTGCCATGGCAAAGGTAGCTTCAATCTCTTGCTACTGTTTCCTCTTGCTCTAGAAACTCTAATCAAATTAATACTACCATTATTCCTGGAAAAAAAAAAAAAGATGAGGCAATTGACTGACCTGTAACTCCTTTTGCCTTTTTTTTTTAATTTGTCCAGGCCATAAATCCCTTCCCCAGCTACCACTCTCCTACATGAGTCATCTTCCCCTACTTGAAACAAGGGCTAACTTTTATATTTATATCCCCAGTGCCTGGCACACAGTAGACATTTAATAAATGTGTTTCATTCATTCTTTCCTTCATTTTGTTATACTCTATACTCATTAGCAACAACTTACCTTCTTAAGATTCCCCCTACCACCACCATCATAACTTTGAATATGGCAATGGTTTGTGGGAAATTTTTCAAATGTTTTAATCTTAAAAATAAATCTGTGATGATTATATAGGAAATAGATACCTCAGTATATAGCCAATGGCAAATATTGGTATAACAGTCAAGGGGTTGGCTATACAAACTAAGGACTTGAGTGTCCTAAATGGACAATGAAAAATACACCGATTGAACCTCCTAGCTTAATTCTACATCTTTGTGTAAGTATTGTAAGTATCACTATGAGATTATTTTATATAAAATGAGTGGCCCTTCATTTGTGAATTTTTTTCTTCATCTGTATACTCTTTGAGGCCCTGTGTGTGTGTGTGTGTGTGTGTGTGTGTGTGCGTGCGCAAATACATATAACTGATATTACTTACGAAATACCAAATTATGGTGGGAAGCACTGTCTTTTTCTGTTGTACATAGTAAATGTGCCTTGAGGCAAAACTAGCAATGGACATATTTAATTAATGCAATAAGTCAATCAATCATTGACTGTTGGACTCAGCTCTCAAACCTGAGGCAGCTTGTCCCTTTATATTATCATTTTAAGTTCAGTAATGAGACAATGTGAGAAAAGCTTGCACCAATTTCACCTGTACCGTTTTTCTCTGCAGGAAAAAAATAAAGGCCTTGATTCTTCTGAGATATAAATTCTGAATCTTTCAGAAGTAATTAAAATTTAAAAGGAACAAAGAAATGGGCTGGTTAAAAAATGAAGAAGCTCCATGTGGAGTGATAAAATGATGTCTATTTTTGCACCTAGACTATTTCGTGACTTGGGATGTAGCAGCATAAGCAAGGCATCCAAATACCTTCAAGTTTTCACCAGTGATTTATAGGGTAGGAAGTGGTGTGTTTAATTCAAAGTTTCCCCTGGTACAGGTTGATGTGTGGAGGCCTCCCACTGTCCATTAAACCCTGATTAATATTTATGATATTTTCAACCTTCATTCTGCTTAGTGTAATAAAATCTTGCAAAGTGTCAGGCCTAACATTGTCTCACTAATGTTTGTCAGAGTCTATAAAGAGAGTAAAGAAGTCTGTGTTCTATGAGGAATGAGAGTTAAAACTTATTTTAAAATAACTTCTTTTACAGTTAATGAAACTAGGTAATTGTAGCCTTTAGGCATGATGTTTGTCAGAGACAGTTAGCAGAGTTATATTTTATTGTTTCTTTCCTCCATTATGTTTTCCCTGCATTTTCTAATAATTTTTGTCCTTGCTTAAGCTTAAAAAGGGGGTACAGTTTTAGCTTATGACCTAGGCTAAAAAGAAAAAAAAAAGCCAAGTCAATATCCTGTTCTTTAAATGGCACCATTTTGTCAATATGAATCACTATCTAATAGAATCCTAGCCAATACAGACCAGTAGGCATTTACTGGATGCCTGGCATAGTGGTGTAAGTGCTAGGATAGGAAGACAAAGCAAAACAATTTCTTCCCATAAGAATCTTAATATTTTTTTTTTTTTTTGTCTAGGCAATGGGGTTAAGTGACTTGCCCAGGGTCACACAGCTAGTAAGTATCCAGTGTCTGAGGCTGGATTTGAACTCAGGTGCTCCTGACTCCAGGGTCGGTGCTCTATATCCACTGCGCCACCTAGCTGTCCCCAAGAAACTTAAATCTTAATGACAGAAGTCCATCCAGATTACTCCAGTAAAAGATTCATTAAGCCATCTTGTATTAGCAAGGCACTGTGATAAGCATGGGAAATATAGGACAAAATAGTATCTAATATTCTACTGTAGTGTTTACAACATTTAAACATGAAAACACATAAATTTATGTTACATATAATATTATTATATTATCATGGTAGTATTAATACTGTCATAATATTACATCATCATAATATCATAAATAATAAAATATAATGTATGTGATAATTTGAGGGCACATGGAAAGCTACCAATTCAATTACATTATTAGTGTGCTATGAGGAATTGACACAAGACATCTGAGATATGTTATTCTAGTTTTATAGACTAGTTTTCTAGTTATCTAGTTTTGAAAACAAAGACTAAATTTTTGGCCACAGGTCTCAGATTCACCTTCAAATTATGGTGAAAGAGGTGGAATCAGGGAAAAAATTTAAAAAATGGATTATGCCAAATAGTATCACCAACCCAATCACTTGTAAAAAAAACAACATTTCTATGGCCCAGGTGATAGCCCCCATATTATTACATATTGGAGCAAAATTACCAAAATAAATAATGAAGTGGAAATAATTTGGACAGATCCTGGAAGATAATGGTAAAGGAATTTCACTTGACTTCAAGTCTTGTACTTAATTACTTCCCAAAAGGTTTAGGGTAGGAAATGTGGTATCCTGGAAAGAGTCAGAGGATCTGGATTCAAATTCTGACTCTGCTACATTAGCCTCTCTAGGCTTCAGTTTTCTCATCTGTAAAATGAGAGGGTTGGACTATATTGCTTCTTAGGACTGTT